TTTGAATGTTCTGACTACAAGCAAACATGATGCTTAATTCTTATAGTACACGATGTATAAGTCTGATGGGACATATAGTACACAAACACTGACGGTTGCGTAGAGCAAAAGTAGATACCAAAATGACGCGTAATCTCCCAGGGAGGTTTTCTGCGGTTGTTTTCAAACGTTTTTTAAACTTTGATGGTTGTTCGCAGACCTCCCTCGCTCTCTTTCTCCCACTATCTACACCTCCCTGCCTCAAGCCTTCTGTTGCTCGGGCAGAAGAGAGAAATGGATGATGGAAAGAAATGTTCAACACAGCGTATCTGTGTCAGAGTTCCTGCTCAGACATGGGAATGCACCCACATGCCCACAGACACTCACGGAAACACACCCACATACTGAAACACAAACACACACACAAAGCTCATGTAAAGGGAAACGAAAATGGGAAAAAACCATGGAGGAATAAGTTGCTTGATATTATTGGTCTATATATAAACTACAGGCTGTGGGTGCCTGTACGTGTGTGTTTTTTAAAGATTTCGCTCGAATGGCCTACGTGATGATGCTCTCTTCATTTGGGACCCTCAGTGAAACGTCTCCCATAAACAGAGTTATGTAGATTACGTCTGCATATTGCCAACAGGAACAGATCAATTATTTGATCTTGTTGCTCATGAAGGGAATCCATTCATTGAAATTCAATAACTGTTTACAAAAACACTGAAGAGAAACGTGTAGACTTGCAGATCAGACAGCAGAGCTGGGTGTGTAATGAATGTTTAAATTAGGTCACCCTCTCCATCCCATCTTCAGTGCTCCTTTCTGTGTAATAAAGCAGAATAGTATCTAAGACATAACAAGCCTCCCCTTCCCATAGCATTAATCCGTGTGGGCTCTCTGTTTTCTGAAGAGCATAAACGTGTTGGAGGACGTTTCTCAGTGTTATGTCACTTTTCCAGCCATCTGCCACTGTGAAACCTTTCTCTTTTGGTGCTGTAAAAGAAGATGAAGCTCCTTCAGCACATCTCTTCATTTCAAATGAATAAATGCAAGTCTGCTTGACATTGTCGCATAAACTGAAATAGCAGTTTAGAAGCTTTCGGTTAAAAGCACTCAACATGTTAAGCATCTTTTGCTCTGTGTGTAGTTGAAGTTACATTATATGCAGGACGTTAAAGCAAGAGTTTTGTAGATGGCATGTTTGCCTTGCCAGGTGACTCCCTGAAGTCTTTACACAACAGCGAGTTTGCTCAACAGTCAGCTGAGACTGCGGGAATCCACAGCACTCATTAACTGGTCTCCAAGATGTTGCTACAGCCAGCACATTTACAAGTGACTAACTTCTCAAAGACATGTGCAAGGTGCCCATCAGTGTCTATGGCACGATGCATGGGGTTATATACACAGTGAAGAACGTTGCGCTTCCAAGTTTGTTGAGGATTTCATGATGCTTCACTGAAATGCAGTGAGTAGTAGCTTTTAGGGTTTATGTTTATGTGAAGTAAAACTAAATAAGTGAATCAGAAAGTAAAAATAAAGGACTTTGTGTAAAATCCAGTATTTTGTCAACCCATCTGTCCACCACAGCATCCTGTCTACATGTTACACTTGTGTGAAAGTCACACTTAATGTGAGTTTCTCCTTTTCTCTGAGTTGCAAGGATCGTGAAGATGAAATATATATGAACTACATGAAGTATAAGTTTTAATAAAACTGCTTTTCTTGAAATGGCAGAGAGCCTGTTCACTTAGTAATCCCATTGCACCAAATTTGGCTGCATTTCAACTTCAGGGAAGACTACATTTACTGGAGCTCCATAAAACCCCATTTATTATGGACTATCTCCATAATCAATAAATATATTTGAGATTTGGGCTTCCTGCCTGATTTTCTTTTAAACCTACACTATTGATATCACTAATATGACAGCAGTTCAGCAGTTTACTTTTACGGCAACATGAGGTATTGCGTAAGAATGTACCCAGACCCCATTTTGTTCATTAACAACACCTGATAGATGAATGAAAGAAGGCGTGCCATTTTTCTTTTAAGCACACCAACTGATTGTGCTCTATTTGATCACTTACGTGCATTTAAAACCTCTGGTAGTAGATCTCATGGTAAGCTAGAAAACTGAGCTTTGTAACATGTTTTATGCTGCGAGAAAAGTCCAGTAATCCAAACAGAGATGTAATGAAGAAACACAGTGAAACTCACCAGTTCGCCACAACAAGGAACATGGGAAAACTGAAAGCTTAAATATGTAATGAGGGGAGGTCCTTTTCCATCAGGTGGAGAGCAGCTAAAAATATGAGGGCAGTGTTAGCCAAGGAGTACAAAACTCAAGCGTAGCGGTTAACATCATTTATTTACAATAACACAAGAGTAGAGCATTTCAAAAAATGGAAAAACTAACGGCGAGCTAGATGTCCCTTTTATACAGACGACATGCAGAAGTCTTGAAACACATGCTCTAGCACCAAACATCACAGAAGTCACTCTTCACCAGTCGTATTACACTGGGAAAGGCCTTCTTACTGGTTCCAACTCCTCCACTACATCCAGCACCAGTTCCACAGACAATTCCAGGGCCAATCTCATTGGCATCCATCTGGCCAATCCATCCTGTTGCTCTTGTGAAGCTCTGCCATCTTCATGCTTGTGCCACCTCTGCATATGCTCTGTGCCACCTCTGTCTGATTGCCCTCACCTCCCATCTTTTATGCAGCACTAGCAGGTGCAGATAATTTTTTTTGATTAAGGTGTGGGTAGGAAGTAAAAGAAAAACTTCAGAATAAAAGCATGCATGCAAAATGTATACAAAAAACATGGTATAAACTAAACCACTAAAAAACACAGAATAAAACATTAAAACTACTCCTACCCCAAAACAAATACAGACAAGGTAACAGGGATAGAGGACACAGCGGGGGGAACCAAGACATGGGTTAATTGAATAGGAAAAAAAAACCACAAGGGGAAGAAAAAGTGATAACGTCCCACAAAACCAAACAGACAAAAAAAACAGGAAGTAACTAAACACCAAGCACACATAGAGACTTAACAAGACATAGATGAGGCAGCATAACTGAAATGTAACCAACCGGAAAACTCTGAAGTCCAGCACATAATCAAAAACAAACAAACCTAGGAAATCATTAATAAGCTGTAATAATTATTAACTCTCAGCTGGGGTCCTTTCTTAAGATCTGCTTTGACTTATGATGTAGTACTCTGTTGTTGAGGTTGAAAACCAAGGATCTCATCACATGATTAATTTGTTCATTTATATTTTGTTAATGTGCAAATGCTAAATAGTAAAACTTTCTTCAAGTAAAATAAGCAATTGTTAGTGACAGCCCCAAAAACCGCTACAATTTGCTCCTTGTCTCACTGTCCCTGAAGCTGCAAACCAGCTCAGCCTGCCAGCAGAGGCTCCTCATGTTTTGCTGCTGATAAATTTGTCCTTCGCATACAATGCAAGTCCATCTAGCAAGCATTTAGGCTGCAGCTTAAGAGGAAACTAATCAGCAGCTCTCTATATTTAAACTCACATTTTCCTTTTTCATTTGCAGTTTTTTTTGTTTCGGGCCGATCTGCGAGGGCAAGCTAATATTGCACAAACCTCCAGTTTTCAGTTGCAAATTTACAGGAGCTCGCACTGCAGTCACTTTTTTTTTTCCTGCAAAGAGCGTCTGTGTGCTGTTTACTGGAGTATAAATGAATAATTAGAACTTGTGCATCTGTCTCATCTTGGGAGAATATCTCGCATTTTTTGATGTGTTCTATGTTTATCATCGCCTCTTCCTGTCTTCTCCCTCACATACATACAATCTGCTTTGAAATGCTTATTTATTATTTATGTTTTAACAGCAATGAAGGTCATATTTTATGCTTCACAGCTCCTGCTTTGCATAAATCTGATATTTTATAAATGTCAGAGTAGCACAAAGTTATGCAGACTCATGTACCCTGATTCTGCTTGTTCTCATACTCTCTGCTCTTGCCCGGGTTCTTCCTTTCCCTGTTGCCTGCTCCTTCCTCACTGTTCTGCTCTTTTTCACCTCTCTGTGTCTCACCCTCCACTCTCTCTCCTGCCCTTCTTCAGCTCTTCTTCTGTTCCTCCATACAGCTTTTTTTTCTTTGATCGCTCTCCATTTGTTTCTTTACCCTCCCACTCAGCATACTGACACAGCTGAAGGGATCTCTCTCTCTCTCTCTCACACACTCTGTCTCCCTCATTGCTCTCATTCTTCTCTCTATCTGTCTTTCTCCTTATTTGCCTCCCTCCGTCTCTATCTTTACCTCCCTCCCTCACTCTCCCTCCTTTCCTCCCTCCCTGTCATCCTCCTCCCTCGCTATCTCTCCATGCACACTTGATTCATTTTACACATTACGGAAGCATCCATCATTTTTGCTCTGTGGAGGAAAAATCTCTTCTTTTTTTTCCCCTTTTCTTTAAAAAAAAAAAAAAAAACCCGCAACAGTATTTTCCACTTCTCTTCTTTACGGCTGTCTTCTCTTTCCCAACTCCTACACTCTCCTGTGGATCCAATCCTAAAGCTGGAACCAATATGTTTTATTTTCAGCTGGTCATCATGGCAGGGACCGTTCTGTTGGCGTACTACTTTGAGTACACAGACACGTTCCCCGTGCACATCCAGGGCTTCTTCTGCTTTGACAAAGCTTACTCCAAGCCGTACCCAGGACCAGAAGAAAACAGCAAGGCTCCACCTGTCCTCGTCTACTCTCTCGTCACCGCCATACCCACTGTGACGGTGAGTCTGTTTTCAACTTAAATTTAAAAAAAGATACTTCCACATGTGATCATCCTGCACACACGCACACATATCTTACATGAATATACGTGACAGTCATGCACACAACATTGACCCACAGCATGTGAAATAAACACGCACATGCACATGGACAGTACCTCCTCATCTACACGTGGTGTTTATGGATTAAAACAGGGTAGCGATGCGTAGGTGTGCATCCTCGTGGACTCGCAGCTCTGTTTGTGTGGTTGCGTTCTCTGTAATAACCATGGCAACGGGCACTATATTTGTCCTCCACAGAGCAGCCAGAGATAGCTACAGTGTGCAGAAAGTCTGTCCTTATTTCCACATTGCATTAAAACAGAATAAAACATCACCTCTGAGTGGTCTGACTTATTTAGGTCTGCAAGGCACAGTTTCATTGTTTTCACCTGTTACTTCAATATGCATATAGAAGCATCTTCAGTAGCTGAGTAGAATTGAATACTGTCAGTCATAATACAGCAGATCAGACCAATCAGTGTTAAAGTGCTTTCTTTTAGTAATTATCTTTAGGAATTTATCAATTTTCATTGGCACTCAATCAGTTTATAGTGGCTATAATTCATGTAATTACCCCAAGTTAATCACAGCATGCACAGTTTCTCATAAGTAGATTTGAATATCATTAATAATGAAACATTCACATCCTCATCAAAGCTGTGCATCCATGACTTCTGCCTCTTAGGGACTACTTCTTTGATGCCCTACAATTAATTGGCAGTAGGACATGTCTGCCTCGGAAACACATATTAGGGCAGTGCACACATAAAAAAAAATCCTCCACACATACTTTATAAACTTACATATATCATTAGTTGGCCTGTTTTACTTATGTATCACTTGCACATTATTGTGTGTAAGTGATATTTAGGTTGTGTGAGACTTTACCACCAGTTTAGGAATCATCCAAAGTTGACATGCATATCACAGATGCACAGGTGGAGCCTAGCGTGTGCTCTAATGCTTGCAGGCTCCAAGCGTCGGGGTACAGAGTGGGAGCAGAGTGGTGTGATTTTGCCTGGAGAAGGGAAGCGGCTTTTTTAAAAGTCAGAGCATCTGTGTTCTCTTTTTCTGGAAGATAACGCTCCATCCCACAAGTCTTTCTTTAGTAACAATGAAAAAGGCAGACATTTTGCTAACTTTTCCCTCAAATTTCACTCAGACCTTTAGCTACAAACACAACTCTAGCTCTTTCAAGTGACCGTGCGAACACTTGTTTTAACAAAGTATCCATATCTCGTGTGTGCGGATTCTATCTTTGATAGCTCAAGATTATTTTCAAATTCACCAGAAATTGTGCAGATTTTTCTTTTTTTCCCTTTAACCCCTCTTCTTTTTTGCTGCTCTCTCTTTTCACGTACACTTGCTGCATTGTCTTGCCCAAGTTAAAATATTTAAAACAGAACTCTGGAGATTTACGTTTAGTCCCTCCATTAAATGAGGACTGAGATGTTCTGACATCTAGCCCTTAGTGTGACTGAATCTCCAGAAATGCTGACACCTACACTTTCTATAATGAATATAGGAAGTTTTTTTTGTTCCATTAGAGTCCATTTATTTATTAGAATAACCCAAGTGAAAGCCCCAGATTTAAATTTTCTGACTACACAACCCCTCCTTCCAGAGCCACTGAAGACATTTTACTGCAGTTTTTGTGAGACGAGAGATACTCCCTTTGATAAACAGTGAAATTTGAGTGCCCCTAGAAATGTCTTTGCATAACTTTGCACAACCTTTCAATGAATCTGTCACATGCAGGAATGTGTTTAGTTTAGTTCTCTGTAAGATAGGCATGTGTTGCACTGACACTCAGGGCAGGTGCTCCTCTGGCTGACACAGCATTTAAGCAGCAAAACAAAATAGTGCACTACTGTAATGAGATTAAATATGTCTGTAATGTAACAAAGAAATGCATTAGTCTTCTTAGATTCAGAGTTTTCATCCTACTTTCTAATCCAAAAATTATGCCACTTGTGTTGCATAACTTCTTCAATTATCTGCATAATGAGGAGATAAGAAAGAGAAAGAAAAGAGAGAAAGAAAACATCATGAGATGCATCAACGTGCGTGAAAAGGCTCTCTCAAGAATGTGATGGCAAAGTGCAAAGCTCTTTGGTGTGTCTTTGTTTTCAGGAAAGCATATGCATTGATATGTAAGGATGGCAATTATGTAATAATGGATTTCAGGCGAGGTTGCAGAGCTATGCTAAATAAGTTAATGAGCATTAAAAGATATTTTCTATACGATTAGTAAAGTCATACCTTACGTGTCTTTTACAAATTAAAAAGTGATGTTTTATATATATTGTATTGTATTTTGTATCACATATAAAGCCAAATTCTGTTCAGACGAGGACTTCACCATTCAAAGTGATATAAAGTTCTGAAATGATGTGCACATCACATTTCTAAGTGCTACATGCTTAATATAATGCACTTTAACTAAACAACTCAGCTGAAGTGAAGTGAGGACCTGCTCAGCGGAATACATTTGTCTTCATCTACACAGATATGTGAGGTCAGACAGTGTCAGAGGCATGACTCAGGAATTCAAATTTCATTTAAATCTCCTCTTACTGGCAATATGCTGAACATTATATAATTCATCTCACCATTAACATTTTACAGAATGTGTTTCCTACCCTTCAGTACACGTTCCTGGAAATGGCTCTGTACTTTTCTACTGATCTACTGGAGCAACATACACTCACCCAGTACTTTATTAGGTACACCTGCATTTAGACGTGTGGACATGGTCGAGACGACCTGCTGAAGTTCAAATAGAGCATCAGAACTGGGGGGAAAAGGGCGACTACAAGCGGGTGATGGTTATTGGTGCCAGACTGGTTGGTCTGAATATTTCAGAAATTGATGATCTACTGGGATTTTCCCACACAAATATTTCTTGAGGTTTATGGGGAATGGTCTGAAAAAAGTTCTCTGAGTGAAAATGCCATGTTGCTATGAGAGGTGAATGGCCAGATTAATTTGAGCTGATAGAAAGGCAACAGTAACTGCCATGTTAACCAGCAGGATTACACAGCATGTCACAAAGCTCACATCATCTCAAACTGATTTCTTGAACACGACAGCGAGTTCACTGGCCTCAGCTCTGCAACTGTGTGATGCTATTGTGTCATTATGAACCAAAGTCTCTGAGGAATGTCTCCAGCGCTTTGTTCAGACTATGCTGCGAGGAATTAAGACAAATAAAATATTTCAAGTTTTCGGCTGTTTTAAGATTAAGCAGGTCTATTCAACACATCTGTCAGACCTCTGCACTGGTGTGGGACCATGAATTTGTTTTTTTGGGTGCATTTCAGTTTCAGGATCCATTTACTTTTTTTAAAATTAAGCCTTGCTTTTTCTTTTTATCTGTTTATTTAAGCTTGTTTTTTCACCCTGGAATAAATTTTGGCTTCCATTATGGTTTTCTGCAATCACACCCAAGCAAGGGTGATTGAATGACTAAGGCACTGGACTACAATCAAAAGCTCCATGAGGGTTTTTTTTTTCATAATATAATTATTTATTTTCCATTTGTTTTTCCATCAAGTCCTTCACATATTTTTGTTAGAAAAAATGGTAAGCAATAGCTAGTAGCACACATTAGCCTTGGTGAAAATTTGATTTGCACTGGTTAAAACAGAGTCCACTCCATCTCTCTGACCCAAAAGTCTGTTCTGAAGCTGACGGTGCTGAAAAGCAGTGCAAATCTTGTTAATCTCAAACAACCTGTAAGAACTGAATAGCACACACACCAGATTGTGTGTGAGTGTGTGCAGTACGTGAATGCTGCACAATGCTAAAGGGACACACAGAGAGGAAGTGAGAGGGTGAGTGAAATAAAGGCACTTGTGTGGTACTTGGCAAAAATGCTGTAGGTTTCAGTGCATCAGTGAAGGTAAGTGTGTGGGAGGATGACGGCACACATCTCCTCCGCGGCCACTGAAAATCATTTTTGTGTGTGAAGATAGAAAACGGCGTGCGTGTGTGTGTGTGCGCACGCAGTAGTGCTCGGATCTAAGTACTAGTCAGAGTAGCCGCAGGCGATCTCTATGACTTTCCACAACTGCAGATAATTCTGTTTTTACACACACAGTATTCAGTGCAGAGCATGTAGCATCCCGCGTGTGCAATACATGTAGCAAATGCATTACAGGTGACATTTCAGCACTCATTTTAATCATCACTCAAAGCTGAAAGAGCAAGGTGAAGTGCTATTTGAACCATTTGCTAATTGCGTGCATGTGTGTGTGTGTATTTGAGTGTATTTGAGTGAATGGAGACCTTATGTGCACATGTTGATATCACACTGCAATCCATCCAGTGGTAATTGCAGGCTTGGTGTGAGCTTTCACAGCACGTGGACACACACTCACACACAAGGGTGCGGCAAATGAATGAAGTTTTGAATGCAGAGGTTTATTTCTCCACCTTTTTTATGTGGGTCAGAGGCATAATGCTAAATACCTTTGCCCTTGAGAGCTCCGTTCTAATGCTGCTAAATATAAGCCTCTCAAACTGTGTGAGAAGGCACAGCGAGGGCGCTCTTTGAGAGGAGAGACGCAGAGACAGAACGAGTTCAAAACGCAGCAAATACAAACTACAACATCGAGGCAGAGAAATGGCGAAATGAAAGAAAAGAAAATGAAAAAGAAGTGTTAGGGCAGCCAAAAAAGAAGGAAAGAAGAAACAAGAGGCTCTATTCCAAGTTTGTTTTCTGCTGTCTGTTAAAGCTTGGGAAAAAACCTTCATGCATTATGCAATTCCATGTGACGGAAAGATGGGGATTGGGGAAAACCAGGGATACAGACCACATTATCCAGTCATGCCAGAGTTTATCAAGGGAGAGCTCTTGATGCATGAAAATCTGTATGGTGTTGTTTTTGCCATCACAGGGTCTGAAGTGATGAAGGGGAACAATAGTGGGAGTGGAAGAGGACTGGCGAAAGCAA